ATGAAAATCAATTTTTTCATGAAAAACTATGTTGTGACTTAAATAGATTGCACCTATATTGTCCCACCAAAGTAATGAAGTATATAAAAGAGAAATCTTGAGCTCATGAAGTAAAGAACACGTTCAAAAAAGCTTAGTTATTCCATTGGTTAGAGCTTTATACTCTAATTCTATAGAAAAACAAGCTACAATCTTTCGATTCACTAATTTTCAAGATTTTATTAAGTTATCTTAAAAAAGATGTTTTTATCATACATATTACTTGATCAATCAAAATATGTGTAGGCTTGCATAACAAAAAGGGAATTAAAGAAAAAATAGAGACTATGATCTAAAGTATTTTTCTTCATATAGGAGCGATCATTTTTTGTTCCTTTCGGTTTTTATCAAAAAATATAACCAAAACCATTTTTTTGAAAAAAAAACCTAAACCGAACCAAAACCAGTTCAAACCAACCTGTTTCTATTCGGTTCGATTATTTTGGGATAAAAACTGGTACAAACCAATTTGGATTTGTTTATCTCAGTTTGGCTTGGTTTTTTCTATTTTGCTCAGTTTTTCTCGGTTTTTTGGTTTTGCTGAATTTTTTTCCTGGTTTTTTTAATTTAGATTCAATTCAGTTTTTTGATTTCAAGCTTATAAAATCAAAACCGAGCCCAACCAGTTGATATTTTGAAAATTCTAGTCCATTTTTTAAAATTATTTTTTTATGGTTTTTTTTATTCAATTAGTTTTTCAGGTTTTAAAGCCTTGATAAGAACCTTTTAAGAGGCTTTCAAATGTGAACACATGAAACAATTGATGGTTTTTGAAAATGAGTGTCATAATCAAGCCTGAGTTGACCACTTTCAAGGCTTCTCCAAAGCAACTTCGATGTAAACATTATCAGAAACCACATAAAGTTGGTAGAGGAGGTGCACGCCTTTTATTTGGATCAACCTTACTCAATTTGAAGATTTATAGCTTCACATTCATTCATTCAAAGGTGTTAACTCAATCAACCTATAATTTAGAAATGCAGGAAAAGTTGATCGGCGACAAGATATTGGAGATTTATGTGGAAGAATTGAGGTGTAAACATCCAATTTCACGGGCATGAATTTGTAGAAGGGGTGTTTGTCAATTAAATAGTGGTGGTTACAGCCCTTGAGTTGGTCGAAAACACTACATTCATTCATCTAAACATTCTCACTCAGTCATCTAAAATTGCTAAGAAAGAAGATGAACAATGGTGAACAACACACCATCTTAGTTAAACCCTAGAAATTAGGGTTTTTTAATTTGGGATTTGATCAATTTTTATTTAGTCATCGCTCTTCTAATTCTTTTTAATTGCACCCGTAATTGTCTGTTAACCTTTAATTGCATTCAATTGCACCCCTACCATTTTAAAATATTAGACCTAAAGTTCTATGCCTTTTATAAATAAATCCTTGGTTTTCAATTTGTTTCATTTCATCATTAATTTACCACCAAAATTTCAATTGTTTTTAATTTGACCCTGATTTGACCAATTTCTATCCTCGAAATTGCACATCATTAATAGGTTGTTCCTTAGTCTTGGAAATCTTTAATTAAGACCTTCATTAGCCTCCAAACTTTAATTATTTTTATAATTAAGCCCTTGATTTGATCAATTAAACATTTCAAAGTCTAATTTCAATCCTTAAACCTCAATTTCTTCTAATTAACACCCAAATTGACTCTAAAAAATGATTTTCCTTGCAATCAAGTACTAAAAAAAAATTAATTAGCCTTTCTAAATTCTCATTAAGTCTTTAATTGTCCAAATTTTTATTTTTTTACCCTAAATAAAAATATTTTCACCGATGAGGCCTTGTATCAGTCAAAACTGGCTTATGAATCTTGTTAATCTTACACATTTTAGTTCTCCAACTTTTCCATTTGTTATCTTGGTTTTTTACCACCAATTTAGGTATTCTTCTAGGCTTTCTTCTTGTATTTTTCTCTATTGTTTTTTTAGGTTAAAAGTGGCTAACAATAATGTGTGTGTGTATGGAGGGGGGGTGGGAGAGAAACTTATGCTTGGCTTGGTAGTGTGTGTGGATCTTTACTTGCTAAATTGTGGTTAACTTACCCCTCTATTTTCTCTCTCTCTAGATATGTAGAGGATTAAAGTAAAGGCATAACGAGTTTTGAACTATAGTGTTTACCTTATTGTTTAAGTTGTTAACTAAGCTGAATGATTTATGTTTCATAAATGAGATTTTTTGATTTGGTATTAGACATTCATTATTAATAGTTTTTAAGAAGTTGTAAACAAATTGAATTTTCTTTTAATATGATTTTTATCATGTTTAAGAGTTGATGTTGTTAAGTGATCATTTATGAAATGCATATATTTAAGACCTTTTGGGGTTTAACATTTGTGGTTTTTTATGAACATTATAAAGTTAGTCTTTGTATTATCTAATATTTATGATACAAGCATATCAACGCCTAGTTTTGGAGGTGTGACACTTCTAAAGCATATATAAAATGACAATACTTATTCATAAGAGCAAGTTAAGTTAAAGTAATATATTGTAATGTTTCTATTATCCAACGATATAGAAAGTCATCTAAAAACAAGGAGTTTGGTATCTTTAACAACTAAATGCTAATTAATAAAGGACTTTATATTGGTTTACAAAAACTTATTTAGGCTTTCTCCTAAACATTATATGCATACTTTTGTTGACTAAGTTCAAACATAAAAGAGGTATAAACCACCTTTAAACAAAAAAAAATTATGAATCTTACCAAGAACTCTAATAGCAAACTGCATCCCAACACAATAATAAGATTTTGAAATCATACAAGATTTGAGTTAGTTACCAAAGTATAATCCATATACATTAATATGTATAATAAGTTATTATCACACATGTCATGAAAAAGGATGAATAGTTTACTTAAGATTATAAAAAAGTGATTAAGTTTACACACATGAGATGGATAATGCATTGTGGATATCAAATTTGTATATAAACCATTTCTTATGAAGTGTTAAAGCAAGTATTAAACAAATAGTTGCTGAATTTACCACATAACTAAAAGTTTCTCTTTAATCATCTATATCTTATGCATTATGGAATGTTTATTGACAATTTCAAGTTCAAGAAAAAGAAATCTAGACAAGTATCACACATGTAACAAAAAAGGATGAATAGTTTACTTAAAATTATAAAAAAATGATTAAGTTTACACACATGAGATGAATAATGCATTGTGGATATCAAATTTGTATATAAACCATTTCTTATGAAGTGTTAAAGCAAGTATTAAACAAATAGTTGCTGAATTTACCACATAACTAAAAGTTTCTCTTTAATCATCTATATCTTATGCCTTATGGAATGTTTATTGACAATTTCAAGTTCAAGAAAAAGAAATCTAGACAAGTTAAATAAGCTTTTTTAAGTAAAACAAGCATATATGATTTTTCAATCCTTAAATCAAGTTGAAATTTTATCAACATGTGTTATATAGACTAGAATCTATAATGAATTGGCTTGTTGCAATTGATTGAAGTCAAGATCATGCCCATATTAGATTCATAAGGTGTTGTTTCATATTTTTATTTATTTATTTAGTTATTTTTAGATTTTTTAATTGGCTTTTATAATTTTAATATCTAGTTTAGTTTTTCTTTTTCTAAAAAGATTTCAATCTAGAACCAGTGTAATTAGGAATATATATCATATTTTTCAATAAAAAAATATATAAATTATTTAGATTGATTATTAAAAAAATTATTCTAAATTTTTTAGTTTAGTGTTTTTTCTACAGTTTAAGGATTATAATTTTAGGAATTAAAAAACCCCAATTTCTTTCTTTAAAATGTAGGGTTGTGATATTTAGGGATTGAAAAATCCCAACTTTATATCTTTCAATATATCTTATGTGACACAAGTAGAAGTGAAGGCTAATGAGAGTATTTTTGTTTTCTTTTTCTTCTTTTTTTACCTTTTATTTGGAGTCCTTTTTGTATGTGTAATGCTTTTATTTTTATTGTTAAGATTTTCAGGAAATAAACCAAAAAAAAATTGAAAAAAAATTATTTTTTCATTAATGAAAAACTTGTTTTAATGTGCACAAGTCTTTCCATAATTATTGATTTGTTTCAAATTCCTACTATATTTTATTTTTCTTCTTTCATGAAAATCTATAATTTCCTTCTTCATCATAAAAAGATATCTCCAAAAGTTGACAACCATTTTTTCTTTCTCTATGAGAATCTTGAACTTTTATTAAAGTTCAAATTTTCTATTTTTAGATTGGAAAATTTTTTTTTTCAAATTTTCTATTTTTAGATTGGAAAAAAAAAATTCATTTCCTTCATGTTCATAATTACAATTAAATATTTTCATTATCTACCATTTCTGATTATATTATTTGATTCTTTATTATTTTCTTTTTATTTTATCTTGTTCGTCATTTTACTGCTTATTTTTTTTTAATTTTTATCATATATTAAAAAATCAAGAATAAAAAAGGGTTTATTACAAAGTAAACAACTACATCAAATGCAAAATATCAATATTTAGATTGAATGTTGGCATGTTGAGTTTAATTTTTTACAGTTGAGAATAATTTTCAAAGTTAAATCAAAATGTCCTACTTCGTTTCAAGGTTTCTTTTCAAAGTTACATCTATTTTTCCTTAATAACAAAATAAACAATAACCAAATACTACTTTTAACAAAAAAAAAAAAAACTAAAAACATCTCGTGTTTAGATTCTTATAGAAAGAAAAAATCAATAATAAATATCGATCGCATTGGTTATAAAAAAGAAAAAAGAAAAAGGAAGGTATATAAATAGTATATTTCACCTTCCAAATAAATAGGCCTTACTAAGTATATATATTCTCCAAGAAAAAAAATATACAAAATAAGAACACGTACCAAGGACACGGCTCAGCCATTAATTAACGTGAGCTCTGTATTTAAATAACTATCCACTTTGTTCTCGTTCTCAACCCTCTCATTCTTCAAACAAATCATCATTGAGAGAAAAACCAAAGAAAGCCAGATTCAGAGACAGAGACAGAGAGATGGAGGAAACTAAATCCAAGTTTAAGAGGATATGTGTGTTTTGTGGGAGCAGTTCAGGCAAGAAAGCTAGCTACCAGGAAGCTGCTGTCGAGGTGGCCAAGGAACTGGTAATTATATATCATACAACGGATTTACAACGGATTTTTCCTGATTTCTTTCACATATTCATCCCTTACATTCAAGATTTCTTTTAGAATAGCTTTTCTTTAGACCATTCCTATTTCTTCTTTTTTGCATTATTTCTTTTTTTTCTTTTTTAGCCTTCATCTCTTTCTGGGACTTAGACGTTCAGCTTTTCTCATCGAAGGAGATTCTAAAATTATCCTTCAGCGTTTGGGGATATATTAGAACTCAATGTTAATCCTTCATTCAACAAGCAATTTGGTTCGAAGTTTTTTTTTTTTTTCCTTGGTCTTGGTTATTGGCTTTTAGTGCAACAAACACCCTTTATTTTCTGTTCTTCAAGTTTTTTTCATTTCGTCTTCTTTTCCCTTTACGTTTGTGTATTCATTTCATCCATTTGCCTGAAATGATTTTGCTTTGTGTTCCTGCTATAAATTATTATTTTAAAAAACAAAACAAAAAACGTCTTCTAGTGGGTGTGGGAGTGGTGGCGGTGTGTCTGCAAGTTGCCACAAAACAAGCTTTCAACGTGGGCTTATGGTTATTAGAGAAATTAGCTGGGGGAGAGAAGGTTTAGGGTTTATGTTTGGCATCAGAGAATGCTAGCTGTAATCTGCCTGTCAGTTGAGCAGCCTTCTTGCATGATCCTTTGTTTTTGGTTTTGTATCAGAACTTGTAATTAATTTTGTTTTTTAATTTCAAGAAAATGGAATTATTATAATCAAAATAAAAACAAGATGAATATTCTTTGGTTAATTCTCTGGGGGAACCAAACGTGCTACCTCGGTATCATGACTCTTTTAAGCGTGTTATTTTTGGGCACTCCTTCACAAGCTTACCCTTCATGATTTTCGTTTATGGGGTTCTCCGCCAATATATTTAGAGTACTAATCACGTTTACATTTTGCTTGAAATTTATTTTGAATTGATTTGACTTGCTAATTGAATTTTTTTTTTCTTTGGAATAGGCATTGAAATTATGGGATTTATCTGATTTTAAATTAGTGAAAAATCATCATTTACCTAATTTTTAATGAGTTAATTCTGAAACAATTTTGGTATAATTTGAAAATCCTTGAAAATCTCTAATCTTAATTGATTGTAGAATTCATTTATAGCAATTGAGACTTTCCAACACTAAAATCAAATAAATAATATTGAAATAATTTCATTTTCCCTTAACTTCCCAAACAATCTTGTCAAGAGTTTTTATTGGTTCCACAGGAAGGTTATGGTTATCATTGTCATCTAATGAATTCCATAGCTTAATGAATATCTTGTGTTGATGATGGTTGGAATTTGTGACACGTGTTAATTGGGTTTGGTTTTCCACGAATCCTGAAGGTTGAGAGAAGAATTGATTTGGTCTATGGAGGCGGGAGCGTGGGGTTAATGGGCCTTGTTTCTCAGGCGGTTCATGATGGTGGGCGCCATGTTCTAGGGTTAGACTCTCTCTCTCTGTACTTGATCCTTGTATCTTTGAATGGCAAGTAAAAGAAGCCTGCTTCACAGGACATGCATCATTTTATCTCATTATATTTACCCTCCCCTGTGGTACATTGACACTGGGTTGCACACAGGCATTATTCCTTTGCTCATTTGTTAATTATAATAGTTTTTCCTCTTGAGCCATGCGAATTTCCCAATCTCCTATGCATTGGAATTCCCATTTATCAAACCTGCTCAGACATCATGGGATCATATGAGAATTTAACATTTCTTATCTCGATTTCTTTGAAACAAAAAATAGTGTTTCGAGCATATTGATTTCCTGGCTAGTGACTGGACATGGTACTAAACTTACTGTTAAAGGTTTGTGTTTATTATGAACATGTCTAGATTCACTAAAGGTGCATGTGTTCAACATGTTTGGAAGCTTTTCTAGCAGCCTTGTGCATGAGTTGGATAAAGCGGATCTGTTTCGGTCCTTGCAATGTCAGTATAATTATACTGTGTTACTGTTAGAAAGAAAGAGACTGAAAAGGCTGGTAGAAAGTATGCAAACTTTAAGGCAGTGATTGGAGCACCTTTCGTTTCCATGAATGGAAGAAGGCTACTAGAATTTTGATTCTTAAGAAGACTCTGCTAGCCCTGCAGTCGGATATACTGTTATTGAGGAGGCATTTTACAGATTGGAGGCCTGTTTTTAGATTGTTAAATGACCATATCGGGACAGCCAAATTACTTCCTTCATTTCAATCAAACTCATTGAATTTTCAAGAATGTTTTACATGCATTATGCTCTTTTATTCCTTTGAACCTGAAGTTAGAACTTACAGTTATTGGATTTTTTTCTTTCTTGCAGAGTAATCCCAAGGTCTCTAATGCCCAGAGAGGTATGTTACACAAAAACTTTCGAGTATAAGACAAAACCTCCATTTTTGTTTTACATTGTCATATGTTTTGTTTCCGCATTGAGGACAATAAAATGAAATGGGTCCTTTTCTGATGAGACAATATTATGTTATTGGTCACATTTAGGGTTATTTGAGAGTTTTAACTTCGTCTTTTTTTTCTTTTTCTTTTTTAAATTTGATTATTTTTAATATTTTTTAATCGTTTTAATGTATTAGTATTAAAAATAAATTTTACAAATATTTTAAAAAATAATAAGTAACACACTCTAAAACACCTTAATATTAAAAATAAATTTTAAAAATATTTTAAAAAATAATAAGTGACACACTCTAAAACACGTTAGTTGGTTTTGTCCTGCCATTGTCTTTGTATTTAGCGACACTGTCCATTTTGCCAGGCTCTCAAAACTGTTTACGCTTAAATATTAAGAAGCAGATGTGTGTGTTTGCTGGCCTTGAGAAAAGTCTAATGCTGTTAAACTAAATGAGGCATTAACTAATGACAAGTATTAAATATTTTGTAATGTATAAAATCTCGTTGCAGGTAACAGGCGAGCCTGTCGGGGAAGTTAGAGCTGTGTCTGATATGCATCAAAGGAAGCATAAAGTGGCCCGCAAAGCCGATGCCTTCATTGCCCTTCCTGGTAAGAATTTGATCTGTAGATTACGTACTTCTATGGGTCTTACATACTTGGTCTCTTTCCATGTAAAGTTTGCCAAAGTGTATGCCTATATGGACATACGTTAAAGTGCTCGAATTTGACTTTTGTCAACGCCAGGGGGCTATGGGACACTAGAAGAATTGCTTGAAGTAATTACATGGGCTCAACTAAATATCCATCACAAACCTGTAAGAATTTTTCTCTTATTTCATTTTTTACTGAACACATGATATTTTGCATGGAGGGATCCAAAGATTTGCTTTAGAGGGGCCAAATATTAAGTAGAGCCCTAACTCATTGCATAATGAAAAGTAAAACTATGAAATTTTTATGAAAAAAAAATATTAGTTAAAATGATCAACATGCTCTTTTCCAAAAACAAGAATGATTTCATTTTATTAGCATTTGTCTCTTACGGGTAAAGATTCATTGACCAAGAATGATTTCATTATTTTTATTTATTTGATTAACATTTTTCTTTGCTTGATAAGGAACTAGCATTCACAAAGAATGGATAACAAACTGAATATTGTTAGAACAATCAGTGGTTCATAGATGGTGATGATTAGTTATGATTATCGCCTATGTTTCAGTTTTATGTACTTTTAAAAGACATTTACATGTTTATTTTTTCAGAGTTTTATAGAACGTCCAAGAAGAAGTATCCAACACCTTCCTAGCATAAAAAGGAAAATAATCATGGAAATCCATTCAATATTTATACTACATAAAGAGCGATAAAAAGAATTTCTTTGATTTTGTTTAAATGAACGTCCAAGAAGAAAGTAGATCAAGGTGTGTCCTTCGATGTTACTGGAATTTCATCTCCCAAAATGATGAGGATTTAAGATATAACTATGTACTAAGTAACTGAATCTTGGTTAGCTTCCAAATTTTAAATGTTTTTCTTGAGATCATTCCCCAACACATAGCATCAGCCCTTGTCGTTGCGCTCACTCACATTTTGTCATGTTTCAAGTTCTAGAACTCTCTGTACAGCATATATATCTAGCATGTTAATATATTTTAGTCTGCTTATAAGCTTGGAATGTGTCCGATATGTGTCATGTTTCTCGAGTTCGAGGATGTTTTAGGGTGATGCATATCGCTTCTAAAGCTAACTTGTCATCATCTTGGTCAATGGATCTTATCGATTGTACTAGAAAAGTAATGTGGCATTGAATCAAATCATGTGACCCTTCAATGGATTCACATGCAAAGATTAGCTTAAGATATGCGATTCTTGTAATCATATTCAAGCTCCATGATTTTGGATGAGATATTGATCTGTTGGATATCCCTTCGAATGGGAGAAATTTCCTAACTGAAACTCTTAAAAAAAAATGAAAGTAGCGTTGGTCAAGATAAAGTTTCTTGTTAATTTGATGTTTTCACATTGATATCATACTAATATAGTTTATTAAAGAATATTAAGCAGTGGGTTTTTCGTATTATTTATGCAGGTGGGCCTCTTGAATGTAGATGGGTTCTATAATTCATTGTTGTCTTTCATTGACAAGGCCGTAGATGAAGGCTTCATATCACCTGCTGCACGTCGCATTATCGTGTCTGCTCCGACAGCCAAACAATTGGTCAGACAACTAGAGGTAGATAATCCTTTCTTTTACATAAAACAATCCATTTCATCTTGTTTAAGTGAGATTATGTATCTTAGCAGTCAAGTTCCATTAAAATCACTCTCTTAATATAATTAAAAAAATAGTATGGTCCCACTTAGCCATGAGCATGGCTGCTGTATGATAAGTTGGTGCTGATTTTTTTATTACATGGTAGACTTACATTATCTAATTATTGTTTTTGGGTTCCTTTTTCCACTTTCTTTGTTACTCCAGGATTATGTGCCGGAATACGACGAAATAACAGCCAAGTTGGTGTGGGATCGAGGAGGTTGATAGATTGACTGCCTGAATCAGCGGTCGCTTAGTAATCTTTTTGCTTAGGTATATACAGAATGGTCTTCTTCAGGTTTTTCCTGCCTAGTGTATACAAGCTTTGAGAAGAGGAGCTTTTTGGGTGTCCTTTTGGCGTTGTGTCAGCTCTGATGTCTCAAAGTCTCCCTTTTGTGTGAACTTGGAAGGAAGGAATGGAATCAGTTCAGAATTATTTATATTTATATATCCAGGAAGGATAATACTATATATTTTATGTAGTCAGAATTGACCGCATCCAGTAATAAAAAAAAATCAAAAGGGTGAATTTATCCACAATAGATTTCATTAAACTAGAACTAAAAGAATTTATTTTTCCTGCTTATAAACCGAACCAGAACAGCTATTTCGGTCTTTCCCATGTTAATTTTGAGTGCCTAAGAGTCCATGTTACTGTCAGGACACGCCATGACCACGCTTTTAACCGATCGTCTTCAAGCTCAAGCCAAGGTACCTCGTATGGCTAATGTGTTTTGCACCAAAGTGATCAAATTATCTGAACCTTTTTCGTCCTTGCCACCCCCCACGTTTCCCACCATTACGATTCAAGTTTTGTGCGCATACTATCTCACGATATTAGACATGATTTAAGGAGACAATACTCACGAGGAAAAACACTGTCTTCCATGAAGCCCAACGACAGTGATGTGACCGTGGTTTGCAGATTTGCAGACTTTAGAGCCATTCAAATGTTTGAGAATGCTCTGGAACTATTAAAAAAAAATCCAGAATATTTTAAGAATTGTTTCATAAAATCCATGGCAAAGAATATTTAAAAAAAATTATTTCATAAATTTTGAAAATCTTGACTGTTGACTAATTAATTTTAAACAAAATTATTTCATAAATATTTTCAATAATACAGAAAAAAAATCTAAATTGTTCCTTAAGTTTTCTTATAACATATTAAAAAATTTAAATGACTGAGTATTTTCAAAAAAAAAAAAAACTAAGTGAGAAGTTTTTTACTCCTTAAACATTTCAAAAGTCTAAGTGTTTTGTAAGTAAAAATTATTGTTTGCTGTTTCTTAAACATTTTAAAAATGTTAATGATTGAGTACTATCAAAATTCTTTTATTCCTTAAAATTTTTGAAATTTTATTTTAATAAATACTATTCTTCTAATTCCTAAAACATTTCCAAAACTTTTTAGTTTTTGAACAAAAGAAATATTTTTTATTTATTAAGCATTTCCACAATTTAATTATTAGTCATCTTACCCTTTATTGCAGTTTAGTAGAATTAAGTTGAATTGAATAAAGCTTACAACCACCAAATCAATTTTGTCTAAATGTTTTTCACAAACTCTTTGCGAAATCGACACAAACACGTGAGAGATTTGAAGAGTTTCTACGTCATTTTTTTATCATTGAGATTGTCTTGCATATCCAACTGTCTATACAAATATTATCTTAGTGTTCTTGTTTTATAATATTATTTTTCATAGTATTTTGAAAAACAAAATCTTTCATTAGAGGTATTATAACAATTGATAATGGAATTAATTTGTTACAAGTTAAAATCCTTAATAACCAAGATAAATAAATAAAATTCTCTTCAAATAAAAAAAAACTAAAACAAACTCATAATATTTAATAAAAAAATAGAAATAAAAAAATTATTTCACAAAAAAAACTTTTACATTAATCTTCTCGAGCCGGAAAGAATTTTTCCTCAATTTCAAACCTCATTTAAAAATAATCATCCATCGTAAACATCCTTTTATGTGGTCTAACCCACTGTAAGCCCCTAACACAATAGTTTACAAAGGGTTACCCCATAATGAATCTTTTTCACAACATTCTTATATCAATTATTTTATTATAAATCTCATTACCAAGATTTTTATTAACAGCAATTGATGTTGTTATAAACAATATATTAGTTTTAGAATTTTTTTTTCTCAAGAGTAAACCTCTTCTTCCAACCAAAACCATAAGAAATCATTAGATTGTAATATTGATTAACAAAAAATAATGAGGTTTTTTACAAGTTAAAACCCTTAAAAACTAAGAACATTATAACTATAGAATAGACATCTAAAATATTTAAATTTTATTCATTCAAGTTCCTCTTATCAAAAAGCTATTACTATTATTTATATAGAAAAACTAAAAACCTTACTAATACTAAATAAGAAAATAAAAAAAATAATAAAGAAAAATATTTATTAAAAAAACACATGCATCGCATCATTTTAAATTAAATATTTAATACAATTGGAATATAATTATTGGAGAAATATTCTCAGTACAAATATAATTTCTCCTAATAATTAACTTGTATTCAAAACCACTACAATTTTCTCTAATTAAAATCACTAGTGATTTCTACTAGTGATGATAAAAATGCTTAATAAAATCTACAAATCTTTACTTCTAAAGTTAGTTGCAATTTCAGTAACAAGGCCAAAGACCAAATTGGTACTATTTCTTATTTGTGATTCAAATTGGTTAAGGCTTTTAGAGTCAAAACACCCCCTCTCCTCCTCAACCATAATCTCATATCTTTGTAAAAGTATTTTTTTTCGTTTTATAATCAGCAAGTGGAAGATCAGAAGATTACAGCAAAAGAAGACCAATGTCAAGTTGTGTCTTTTCTAATGCGTTGCATCTCACATGCCTTCATGTTTTGGCATTTCCTCTACTACACTCCAGAAGTTTCTCCCAACAATTAATAATCCTCTAAAATGATTCGATTATCCAACAATTGAGGCACAATTGTGATTATGAAAGTATATTTTGAAATATTTAAACTTTTAAATCATAATAAACCAAATAATATTTAGCATAATTGAGAGGGAATGACTACTTATTGATAGAGTTTCCATCTATCTTTTTTAATAGCATTAAAACAAAATTAGCACCCTTCATTACAAGAAATCCATTTCATGATTCCAAGTTTTGTGTGGTGTGTGCCTTTCTAATCTTACTTATAATTAATAATAACAAAGATTAAACGGAGAATTTATAATGAATCAAGTAGGATCATGATTGTGCATTATCGATGATAAGTGTTTCGGGCCTCACTCATCTATATAATCAACTAATTAATGGAAAGTACATTACGTTCCTAAATAAAACAAATTGCAGTCATATCTATTTACAGTGAGAAGAAGTTGAATGCCTACTTATTTTTTACAACTGATTTTTATATATTTATACTAAATCCTTGTCTAAATTTTCAAATCTTATATAGACAACTAGCCCATCTGAATTAATTTATTCAATAGACAATTTATTCCTTATAGAATTTCTTTTTAATTCAAATAAAGATGATGTGATCTGTTGGGATGGGTTGGATTTCCCTTTTATTTGGAAGATCTCATATTTATATTTAGTTCGATACATAAAATATTATTAAGTCCAAAGAGAGGGAGTTTTAGTTTGTTTGTTAGGGGGTTGTAAACACTACTTATGAAGAGAGAAAGAGATATGAAGAAATCGCAATTGTTTGAAATAGTATTTTGAGAAGATAGTTGTAATTCTTTATTTGTTGATAATTGAGATTTTGAATTAACTAAAGTCTTGTGACTTTTCCTCCAATATTAAGGAGGTTTTCCACGTACAAAAATGCTTTGTTCTTTTTATATGACTTTGGTTCAAATTTAACTCTATCTCTATTTAATTGCTTCACGACAATTTACATAAAGAAAGAGAAAAAAAATATTTTCATTATTTTATTATTGATTTAAGTATCTTGAATTAATTTGTGACTTGGATATTGCACTCAAAATTATTAAATGCTTTCATGAGATGTGATTGAGTTGGTTAAACTTGGATATGAGGTATAAATTTAGTAGGTGTAGATATATAAGTGATATCTATCTCATATATATATATATATATATATATATATATGAAATAGCTTTACCACCTAATAATTTAGATAATTGGATTAAAGTGGTGTCTTTTTCTTATATGTAAACTCTCACACTTAGCAACCCAAATGACTCCTCGTTGCAAATTTTTTAACACAATAAAGAATAAATTAACTTATCAATTGAGTTAAAATTATACTTAACTTTGGATTAAATTATATTATTATTATTGTTATTATGAAAATAAAATACTAGTCCTTTGGGAGATTGAAAAATATATTTTTTTGGCTAGATCATATGAACAATGAAGTACTTTTCTAATTTTTTTTAATTGAAAAATTAAATCACAATACTAATCCTGGCAAAAGACAAAGCAAAGTCATGGGATCTTTAAAAGTTAGCTTCTTACATAATAATAGACAATACCTAAAAAACCCTCGATTCAACTTCAATTGATCTTGAAAACCCATTGAATTATGATTCTAAAATGAAAATTTTCAACCCTAATAGACAACACCAAACAATCAATACTTACAAAAAAAGAATTTCTAATTTTATCTTCAATTTCTCTTGAAAACCACAAATTCCTTCACTACCAACCATTTTCACTCAATTACCACAAAACAACACCAACCCACTTCAATTGCTCACTTAATTCATGTCCAAAATCACAACTTTCCCAACTTCAAAAAAAATATCAAATTAATACAATAAAAACCCTAAAAAAACCCATATTCATTGCAACAAAAATTTTGAACTAGAGTAATTTTCAATCAATGAAGCAAGAAAATAGGCAGCCAATTCATCTTATTATAACAAAAGCTAAATAGTATAGGAAAATCATTTTAAATCAAGAGACATTTCCTTATAGATTGTAATAGTAGTTTTACTTTCAATTTCTCATCTTTTTTGTGAGATGCTTCTTTCGCTTTTTATTTCTTTCCCATCAGGTGGGTAGCGTTCATGCCATTAAAGAGACATGTGTGACACTTTCTAATAACCAAATCTAACCACTTGTTGTCTCATTAAATACACATTCATATCGTCTTCCACATGGTATGATGTGTGTAGAAAAATAATTTGTTAAATTGTTGCCAATGATAGATTGTTTGTGTTTTTTCTTTCTTTTATCTTCCTTAAAAATAAAGGTGCACAATTGTCCATTTTATTTTTTGTTTATCAAATCAGGCATATTTGTCATACTCAAGTCTCTTGGGTCTAGCATAGTTGTCATACCCAAGGCTAGGCCAATACACCTTGAGTCTGGCATGGTTTGCCAAACCTAAAGTGCTTGGGTCCATGTCAAACTCATGCTTTTAGGTCTGTTAGACCTTCATCCAGGTCTGGCAACCATGTCAAACCCAAGAGTCTATTTTTCATCTCGTTGAATGCGCAATCGTGCCCTTTTCTATATGGTATGGTGTGTGTAGAAAAATAATGGTTAAATTGTCACTG